GAACACATGCACATGAACTGTAAAGAAAAAGAATTTTCATCTTTCTCCCAACTGTAAATCCATCCACTTTTTATAGCATTTTACAATTATTCAAAGTTTCCCCTAAACCAAAAAACATATGTTCACCCATGACCTTTATACCACACATCATGTAAGAAAAAGATGCCAAACCAGAAATATCCACATTACTCCTTAGTTGGTTTATACCCTACTTTGCTTCTTCCTCCATGAAACGAATAACGAAAAGCACCAAACAAAGAGAAGTTAAATTAATTCAAAAAAAGTAGGCATAATAGCAAAATAGTCACCATTTATTGACAAAAGAAGCTTTTCAAGAATCATTTCGATCAAATTACATCTATACTTATTGTATTTAATACTTTATACTTCTCTATATATATTACCTCCATTTGCTACATTTCTGATTTTCATATATATGATTTTGATTGCTTTATCTTCAAGAGGGTTCTCTCCTTCTCCATACCTAATACTAGCAAATTAATAACAAGAATAGAATGGGAAAACTTATCGGCATTTTCGCATGTTTCTTGATAGTGACATTGGACGTCATTGCCGGCATTCTAGGAATCAAAGCCGAAGCCGCTCAAAACCAGGTAATTTTAAACTTCCGACTTCGTTAAAATTTCAATGCATCTTTTTTTTTTATTCGGATCGAGTTTCTAATATCTTGATTGATTAGGAAAAGCATTTGAGGCTATGGATATTCGAGTGCAAAGAGCCGAGCCACGATGCATTTGTCCTTGGTGTAGCTGCGGCTACTCTTCTTGCATTGGCTCATGTTTTAGCTAATTTGGTGGGAGGGTGCAATATTTGCAGCCAAGATGAGTTCCATAAAGCTCCACCTAGCAAGAAGATCTCTCTGGCTTGCCTTGTTTTCACTTGGTATCATCTCTCTCTTTCTCTCTCTCTCTCTCTCTCAAGAAAGTGATTCTTGGTTGGTCAGGGCTGTGTTTGACAAACATATAAGCTAGCTTTTAGCTTATTTGATTAGCTTATAAGCTTCTTGCATTCAAATAAGATTGTTTTAGTAAAGACGAGCTTTTTTAAAAAGCTTGAAATAAGGTTTCTTGGGTAGTTTTTCAGATAAGCCCATTGAAATTTAGTTTATCTACTAATTTTATCAAACACTTCTATCATATAAACTACTTTTTCAGCCATAAGTCATAAATTATCAGATATAAACTCGAAGTTCACTTAAAAACTATACGCTAGCTTATCAGTTAAGTTTACTAAACATAGGCTAATGTGTTACACCAGTTAAACAACATGAAGCGCTTTGTGATTACGTTTCAGGATAATAGTGGCGGTTGGGTTGTCGATGTTGGTGATTGGGACAACGGCGAACAGGAAGTCGAGAGCTTCGTGTGGATTCACGCACCACCATTTTCTATCGACAGGCGGGATTTTGTGCATGGTTCATGCACTCTTTGCAGTCGCCTATTATGTTACTTCAACTCATGTGCTTCATTGAATGTAGTTTGATGGTTATGTCTGGACTTTTTTTTTCTCTGTTATTTCCAATCTTAATTCCTTCTAAATTTTTTTCCGTTAATTGTTTGGTGTTTTGTTTCAAACTTGTTATTTATGGCTACAAAAGTGATTTCTAGAGTTTCAACATTTTCCTTTATTTTGTCCAGTCATTTTTTTTTTTATTAATCTTAAGAACTATTATCCTTAAAATTTGAAGTCTTGAGATATAATGATGTGTATCCACGAAAATTTTATCCTTGAAAATTGAAATATGCAATTGCTCGTGCTATATATTGATTTTGTGTTTAAAAAGTCGCAAGTATAGAATCAATAATATTTTTATTTTAGCTAACCCCTACTTTGTTTTCTATCATTATTCTGTAATTATTTTTTAAGAACTCTGTAACACCCATATCTTGGTAAAAAATAAAAATAAAACACTGTTTTTAAAACGTACAATATGAGTAAAAGAATTTTGAGCTGTGAATGAACCAATTGTTTGTGGACAAAAGCTAGTTGGTTTAATAATCGACCCCTCCAAGAACATTGGATTCTTTGTTGTTTGAACAAACACGAACCCGACACAAATGTCCGAATAATTAATTATTAACTTTTATTTTTATTTTTATATTATATTTTTTCAAGTTCAAACCATTTCGAATGAACTATCTCAAGTTAATCAAACAATTTTAATGTATTTATTTATTAAATTATTTGAAGACAAACACACGACCTCAAATTTTTGAAAAGAAAAAAAATCTAAACGCAATTTTTTGCTCGAATAATAACGTACAAATACGAATATATGGTGCTCAAATAATAAACGTACAAATACGAATAGTGTTCGAACATAAACAAATACGAGTTCAAAAATTCTCAAACTAGGTTCTTTCGGTTCGATTACTATCACTAGTAACACTATTAGGAGGATAAACCAAAAATGGCTTGTCAATATTGAAATTACTGATTAATTGAGTCACTGTGAACCTAAAAGAGAGAGAGATTGGGTAGGGTTATCATTGTCAACAATGAGAAGCACTATGTTCCCAAGTTGGAAAAGACACTAGTGCCCACAACCAACATTCTATAATCCTTATATATTCATTTATGCATTTGATAATGATCCTTTTTCTCAAGAGGAATTGGCAACAAACAATACACATAAATATTACTAGGATTCAAGACCCAACCACACTGATTTCTCGGTAGCTTAATTCCTTAACAATCACATCAACTTTCAAAAAGCATTCTACTTAGTGATTCAAAACATCAGCCACATGATGAGTAAGGCAAATAGATCAGTGCATAAAAAAAAAAAGAGAGTCATTTTTCATCACACAACAACATTCACAAGCCCCAAAATGTAGCAATGAAATCATCCAAAATAACCTTACATAGTACTTATGAAGTTCTGATCATTAGGAATAAAAAGACAAACTTACCCTTGCCATATTTGTAAACATTCACTGTTCAAAACCAACTTCATTTGTTCTGCCATCAGCTTCATCTTCTTGTAGTAGAGCTCAATATGCCCCACAGACACCTGCTTAAACTTCCTGTTCAGCTCAATCTCCTCCATAGCCAACTTCTTCCACTTCTCGTTCAGCTCCTCCGGCTTGCCATTGCCGAGCAAACTCAAAGTCTTCATCCATAGCTTCTTCCCCGGTTCAGACATAATCCATGAGGAGTCTTTCATCTCTGGAAGATCAAAGGACTTTTTCAGAAACGGATACTTGTAGTCCAAATCAACTTTTTCTTTGATTTCTTCTTTAATTACTTTTTTCACGGCCTCCTTTTTAATCACAATCCTCTTCACGTGGGGTTCGACCTTTGGCTCCGCCTTCACAACCTTATTCGAATACTCCCTTTTAATCACAGTCCCCTTCGAGTCGGGATTGACCTTTGGCTCCATCTTCACAGCCTTATTCGAGCTTTCGCCCTTCACAAAAACAGGATCTTTGCGGATTTCGCAGTTCTTCGACAGGGCGTCAGAAAACCCCTTCTCCACCTCTCCGATCTTGGGCCTCTTGCCGCCGGAACCGGAGCTTTGGCGCCGGCATCCCTCGTCTGCGGCGCGTTTGGATGAGGATTTGGGGGTTTTGGGAACGTGCGGCTTGCGGTCGGAGGGGCAGCGCGGATTCCGATCGGAACCCGACCCGATGTCATGGTTGTCGGATTTGGATTTCGCCATCGCCAGAAAAAAGTAGTCTTTTTTATCGCCGGAGGAGGTTCACTCGGCTGTGAGCCTGTGACCAGTATTGCAATTTTTCCTTATTTATATAAAATGAAAATTATAATAGGGTTTTTTAATTAATGTTGCTGACTTGGAGAGTTGGAGTTCACTTTTAGGTAATTAATATAATATTTTAGTTTTTTTTAAATAGATATTTGTTAAAAAATGTACAGATGTCACCTACGCAATATATATTGAACATAAAAAATAAGGTAAAATATACCTCGTAATTATCGAAAAATGATCCTTTGTTCCCCCTTATTATTTTATAAATTGCAGAAAACAACCATCTTTGGTTATCAAGGGGTAGTTGTTAGCGGGTTGTATTAGCTGCTTTGATCGGTGGATTGCATTAGTTGTTTTGATCAGTTGATTAGCTGTTTGGAAAAAAATGTTTGATAAAATTAGCTATTTTTATTTAGCTGTTAACATGTAAATTTACTTATAGTTCATCAACATACTTGAATTTATTTTTATGTGAATATTTATAAAGTAAATAACAAATATTTATGCATTATTTTAATATTAACAAAAAATAAGTATAATATTAAATATATTTAAATTACGCTTTCATATGTATCATACTTAATGTAAAACCTAAATAGAAAATAGAGAAATGTTTATTTGTCCAAAAGTAGAAGCACAAATGTTTGAATGGAAAATGAGACAAATGTTATTTGGCTCTTTCTTCTTGAAATGTGATTGTGTGATTGTGCAAACTGAAATGTTGTTCTGGATTTTACATCTCATTGTTAGTTCCACTTTTATTTTAACATAAACAACATACTTTTACTTATATCTTGTTCGAGCAATATTTGTTGGCATCCNAATTTTTTTAAGAAGTTAAATTAATTCCAATGTTATTTTAATGGAAATAATATACTCTACTTCTATCTTATTCGAGCAATATTCGTTGGCGTTCGTTCAACTATGAAAATAGCTCGATTTCACTTATTTTATTTTATAACACCATCTTACTCGTTCTTATATCATATAGTTAATTTTTTTTCCAGATACTAAATTAATTTCAGATTTATTTTAACGGAATTTGGAAATTGATGTTTGAATTCAAATCTAAATTGTTTTTAAATGGACATTTTCCAATTGAAATTAAGAGCATTTTTGCCATTATGGCGCACAAGTAATTATTTGTATTTTGTTAAAATGTAAATTTGCCATCAAACTGCCTAGAAATATTTCAACAATATGCTTTTTCTACACTTCTGTCATTATATTAGGGGCAATTTTGCTCACAAGTATTCATTTGTACATAAAAATTGAAAAGCCAAACAAAAACGTTCCATTATGTAGCGTTTTGAATTTTAGCTTGAGCAAAAAAGCTGCAAAGAAAAACTGTTATCCAAACACTCATTTTTAGCCGATCTCAAAAGTCAAATAAGCTGAAGTGGACAAACAGCTAATTTAAGTTATGTGACATGATTCCTCCGATCCTTTTATGCCAAATTTAAGGTGTGCTTGTTTATGAAATATTTTATTCAAAATGAGTTATTTTAGTTAACTAGAGTTGATTTTGGAAAAGGTGATATGATTAGTTGTTAGTGGGATTTAAAAAATGTATTAAAATTATATTTAAAATAAAATGATTAGAAATTGATATATTTAAAATAAAATGATTAAAATTGATTTGATGTAAAAGTAAGAGATAAAATGATTGAAAATGATAGTTAGTTAAAATTATGTGAGTGGATGAATAGTGAATTAAAGTAGATGTGATGTGTAACAATGATTAGTTTGTATTATTTAATTATATAAATAATATAAAAATAGTGGGATTGAGTTAAAGTTAAGTATGACTTAAATGTGAGTAAATTATTTTATAAACAAGTAACCCCTTAAGTATTTAACAGTGTACACCAAAGGATGCACAAAATTTGGTTCCCCGAATCAAACCGACCGAAATAAAAAATTCGGTTTGGATTGCGAAATTGAATATTTGGTTCAATTTCGATTCTTTTCTTAAATTTTTGTTTTGGGTTCGGTTTGGATATAAACGCCTACACTTTTTTCCAACACAAAATAATCAAACTAAAATAAAAATACAATAGTCAACTGCCTAGCTTAAACGCTTATACCAAATCAACAATTCTCAAAATAGTCCCTATTTTTATCTATATATGAGACTTGATAGACTTGTATTTCTTGGATTAGTTATCATTTTTGTTTTTTTTATGCATTTTAGTTTGGTTTGGTGAACTGTAACTTAGACATGGCCAACTGCCGGGCCAGGTCGTGGATTGCCGGGTCTCAAAACAAGGGCCCGGAAACCGGCCCCGCTTATGTGTAAGGGCCGGTTCACTGAATCGGCCCGAATCGGTGGTTCATTTAACCGCCCTTTTTCTTAAAAAAAAAAAAAANATGTCAACCAAGATTTGACTTGGAACCGACCCAGAACCGGTAGGTTATAAAAAAAAAATATCAAAATCCAAACATATTACCACGGGTCCAGTTCAAGGATCTGTATGCCCGTACATACAGTTGGTTTTGGGCCAGGTTCGGTCCCAGTTCCGGGCCGGGTTGTGGTCTGAGTCGACCCTGGTGTTAGAATATCACTTGTCCCACATCGTTCATACATGGAAAATAGACCCACCTTATATGTTTAATGAGCTAATCCTCCTTCCACTAATTGGTTTTGAGATGGAACCCCACTTGGGCTTCATATGGGCTTTCCCCGCTTTGGTGCGCTTCATGTTAGTGGGTCCGCACCCGTTTTCCCCCAATTTCTGTCATGGTATCAGAGTCGGTTTTATTGGTGACCATGCGATGACGTACATGTCACCCAGCCCAATTGGGCTTGGGCTATCGAAGGACTCACAAGTGAGGCTGAGTGTTAGAATATCATTTGTGAATTGTCACACATCGTTCATACATAGAAAATAGACTCACTTTATAAGTTTAATGGGCTTTCCCCGCTTTGGTGCGTTTCATGTTAGTGGGCCCGCACCAATTTTCTCTCAGTTTGTGTCACGTGGCCTCTAATGTAAC